TTCATCTTTAGTACATTGTGTGAAGAACCACTAGGAATTGTAATAGCTAAATTCTCATATAGAACATTAAAGATATATTCTTTCATATTCTTTTGGTCATTTTTTTCTCTAGAAAATATTCTTTTTCATTAAATTATGCAATAGTCTCTCATTAAATTCTGTGACTCTCTGGTTTCTAGGAAATAGGGTACTGTCATTTTGATATCATTCTTTGAAATAATGAAGCATTTGGGAAGCTAGGGAATACATGTAGATGTGATGTATTTCAGATTTAATTTTAAAATACTTTTAACAACTTTTAACATCATATAAAATACTAACTATTCAGAAGGAATTTGGGTGAATTTTATCCTGGTAACAATATAAAGTAACATATTTTAAAGCTTCCTATTGTCAAAACAATCAATTGAAAGTTAAAAATATTACATTTGAGAATTATCATTATCATATTCTTGTTTTATATTTTTGTACACAATTTCTTAGCCCTCTACAGTTTACAGTAAAATTAGGAACTGGAATTTTTAAAATTATATCTCTGAGAGAAAATTTTTATTTTATTTATTTTTTTTAAAGATTTTATTTATTTATTTGACAGAGAGAGACACAGTAAGAGAAGGAACACAAGCAGGGAGAGTGGGAGAGGGAGAAGCAGTCTTCCCACGGAGCAGGGAGCCGGTTACCAGGCTTGATCCGAGGACCCTGGGATCATGACCTGAGCCAAAGGCAGATGCTTAATGACTGAGCCACCCAGGCGCCCCTGAGAGAAGATTTTTATAAACAAAATAATGTAAATCAGTGCCGGTACCATATTTTATTTTCAAAATCTATGCCATATTTAACATGGTTTCATTATTTTATTTTTTTTAGACTTACTTATTTGAGAGAGAGCAAGCTAGCATGCGGAGGGGGTGGGGCAGAAGGAGAGGGAGAGAGAGTTTCAAGCAGACTCCATGCTGAGCTTGGAGCCCCACCTGGGGCTTGACCCCATGACCCTGAGATCATGACCCTAAGATCACCATCTGAGCCAAAACCAGGAGTTGGCGCTTAACCTACTGTGCCACCCAGGTGTCCCTCATATGTTATTTTAAACTATACAATTAGTACTACAAAATTTATTGAAATAATCAGGATCAAAGTATTTTAATAATTATGATTTTTCTTCAAAATAACTTATTTTTAAAAATTTTACAACCAAAAACCATGACCATTAGATTCTTATTCTTTCTTCTGTAATGAACATCTAGAATTTTAGCATTTAATATATGTGCTGCTGACGCAAACACTAGAATTTTAGCATTTCAGAGTCATTAATTATCCATAATAATGAAAAACTAGTAAGGAGGAAACTGCTATTTTTATTTTAAATAATCAGTGACATAGGTGTGTGAAACTTCGGAAAATTAACTTTAGCATATTTTATTGGTTTTATAAAGTGTAAAAGGGATCTATTTAATTATTTCTAGCTTGCACATATTTCTTCTAAAGTTTTAGCTTATATAATTTTTTTTTTAAGTAATTTCTACACCCAACGTGGGGCTTGAACTCACAACCCCAAGATCAAGAGTTGCACACTCTGCTGACTGAGCCAGGCAGGTGCCCTGATGGCATTTTTTGAAAGAGGAATTTTTGTCACTATACCTTAATGGTCTTATCCAGATACTATTGAAATATCACTGAAATATACTTCTGGTCCATTGTTGACATTTTTAAAATAAAAGCAACTACTTAAAATATTGCTACCTTACTCCTTTGTACTGTAAGAATAATATACCAGCATATTACTACTAAATTAAAGTTGCATCTGAAGCACAATTTGATCTTTAGTGTTATATCTTCTAGTCCTTTCTCTCAGGATTTCAAATATTTGAACAAGTATACATGTGACAAATGTGTTTTAGTATGGAACAGATGGTCACAAAACAGTACAATTTATTCACAGGCTGAAATCCAACTTTCAAACACTAGAGCCTCTCCAGTGATTTAAGCTTCTATGATATGCCAAATTGTTTTAATACAAATCAATGTTTCCTATTCAGACTTGAAAAACGCTCCCTCTGCTCCAAAGAGATCATTCACTCATTCAACCATAATGACATTTTAACTTAAATAAAATTGGTCATCCTCTTCAAAGAACATGTTAAAATTAGAACTTGTTTCACAGTAGACATCACTTAGAAAACAGTTCCATCAATTTTTAATCTTCTAATTGCTTTTGGAAATGATCCTGCAAATGTGTACCTTTGAATATTTCATTATAATGGCTTCTTTGAATAAAAATATTTATTTATTTATTTATTTATTTATTTATTTATTTATTTATTTATTTAAAAGATCTTTTTATTTATTCATGAGAGAGAGAGAGAGAGAGAGGCAGAGGCAGAGGGAGAAGCAGGCTCCCCGCGGAGCAGGGAGCCCGATGCGGGACTTGATCCCAGGACCCTGGGATTATGACCTGAGCTGAAGGCAGATGCTTAACCGACTGAGCCACCCAGGTGTCCCTGAATAAAAATATTTATTACCATATACACAAGAAACACATTATATATGTAGTAATTAATCATGATAATATTCATGAAGGTATTTGCTCAGTTCAATACTAATTCTACAACTACACTGTTAAGAATGATATTCTGCCTTTACAAGCTCCAGAAAACATTCTCTAGTCAGAATCAGAAAAAGATTTGTTTAAAATGGGATAATATAATATTCCCTCAATTAAAAGCTGAGAGAGACTCAGAGAAAGAGGCTGAGAAAGAATACCACTGTGTTCTAGTGTCAGACTAGGAGCAAGAAAATGTGAATTTTTGTTTTTGCTTTGGCTTCTCACCTTGGGTGAGACATTAAAACCCTTTAAACTTTATTTTCCTCATTAAAAAAACCCTAGGGGGATGCCTGGGTGGCTCAGTAAGTTAAACACCTGCCTTCGGTTTGGGTCATGATCCTAGGATCCTGGGATTGAGTCCCACATCGGGCTCCTTGCTCAGCAAGGAGCCTGCTTCTCTCTCTGCCTGCCACTCCCCCTGCTTGTGCACGTGCGCCCTCTCTCTCTGACAAACCAACCGACCAACCAACCAACCAACCAACCGACCAACCAACCGACCAACCAACCAACCCACCCAAGGATCTCCAAAAATTCATTCAGCTCTTCCACTCTGTGATTGTACTGCAGGGCTAGGGGAGATTAAGAGACACAGAAAAGGGTTTGAGCCAACTGCCAGCCTCCTTTCACCCAAGTCTCCCACCATGTCCCCCAACCCTCACCTGGCCCTGGGTTCTGGGTTACTTTTCCCACCAGTGCACAGCCCCACTGTCCAACAGCCTTCTGTTGATTTAGACTCCTCCTGCCTCCTTATATGCCTTTGTTGCCACGACACCTGGCAACATGATTTGGCATCATATATTTGCCACTGAGAAATTGAGTGTAAGGAGCATCCTGTGCTGAAGGTCACATCCACCTGTGAGTCTCTCCACCCGGGGCCACAACCAAGCAGCAACTAAAACTTTGAAATAACTCATCTGCTCTGCCTTAAATTTCCATTTGTTGGTCACTTCTCAAGTGAAGTCCCATCTTCTTTATTCTCACCTTTATCGCTATAATACTTTGTGTTTCCTTTCTTCCCTAACAGCTCACTCCCCTTCCCACCCCAAACTCCTGTATTTTTTTTCCTCTGGACTTCTAATTCCACTACCATGAGCTCCCTACACCTGTGATCTTTCCATAAAATGTTTCAGTCCTTCCCACCCTTCCTCCCCTCTTGCCTTAGCCTGTATTCCTTCTGAGGACTTTACTGCAGCCCTGTCAGAAAAGCATATTTATTTTTTCATACTGTCCTTGCATCAGGATCAGGGGGTGGGGTCAATTTCTCCGTACTCCTTGACGTTTTCAGATCATAGCTCCAGACTTTCTTATAAAAATGTCAGTTCCCTTCAGGGTTTACCATTTCTTGATTCCTCTCCTTTTCTACCCCCTCCTCTGTAGAACTTCTAGACACATTCAGCCGAGGATTTTTGGCAATAGATTTACAAACCTTCTTCCTTACCTAACTTCTCTTATGAGGAAGGATATTAATGTCTATGAAGCTGATTCAGTTATTGCCATTGGTTCTCATTTTCCTTCATGTTTTCATTCTTGCAGGCTTCTCTCTGCCACATCTACCAACCTATGGCCATACTTGGAACCTGCTCCCTTCTGAAATCTCTTCTTCAGGCATTACTTTCTCAGACCCAAACTTCCTATTTTTTTGCAGCATGCCTGCCTAGTACTCCTGTTTGACCAATCTTAGTCTTCCAATTCATTTACTCATTTATCTTGCCTTAGAGTCAGCCTTTTCCTATAATCTCTTCTAATTTGTTCAGATTTTGAGTCTATCTCTTCTTCGATCTCTCCCTTGTTGAGGCCCCAAAATTGCTTGCTTATTTTCCTTTAATTGTAACTACCTACCAAAGCTGCAACCATGATGAATTCAAATCTTCTCTACAGTGGCACATAGATTGTGTTGTGCAGCTAAACATCATCCAAATGAGTCAGATTGGTAACATTCTATAAATTCATAGCTAGCAAACTTAAAAGGACCTTAAAATTGCCTGAAATGCTATTATGCTTCACCAGTCAGTTCACTTTCCATTTCTCTCAAGAAAATAGTTTTTTTAATCCTTTTCCAATGACCTCAAACATATTTCTTCTTTACTCACTCTCTGCTGATTTAGACTACAATTTCATTACCTCTTGCATCTAAATCTATAATATATACCCCCCTTCTGTTATAGTGGATAAGTCCCTGCATCCTACTATAGGGTATCCTGACACTTATGCTCTAGATCCTTCTGCTATTAACAATTATCACACATACCAGCTGTATCTGTCTGATATCACTTATCATACACACCAGCTATATTTTTAATGACATTTAAATAGGTTCAAGTCTCAGCTTAAAAAAAAAAACACCAAAACCGTGAACAAACATCTTCCAGTTACTTTTGTCTCTTCTTTCATTTATAATCTCTTGTCCTTAGTTATATATATATATATACTGTTTCCTTGTCCTCACCTGTCATTTTCTCTTCAACCCAATCCAACCTAGACTTGGCTCCCACTACTCCACTAAACTCTCCTAGCTAAGGTCACTAATATTCTCCTTATTGCTAAAGCAAAATTGCATTCTTCAGTCTTGATCTTACCAGACCAACTGCTACTAATTTACTACATTTTCTTTCTTTGGTTTTCTAATACCACATATTTTTTTTTGTTTTGCCTCCCTCCTATGTGGCCACTTGTCTTCATAATTCAGTAGTTCAACCAATATTACAGAACACCTGTGTTTGTCAAGCACTGTATATTAAGTGTACAACAGTGAATAAGACAACAAGGTCCTTGCCCCCAAATATATTATATTTTAATGGGGGGATTAAGTAATTTTATATAGTCTTCAAAAATAGTAGAAATAGAAATTTGTAGTACTTATAAGTTTCTTGAAATCAGTGAAATCATTCTAAATGTGGCATAACTTACAGCATTGTAAGTATATTTAATTTACATTTCATGTATAAGAAATACCTTTAAGGAAGTAAAGTGAAAAAGACAACTACCATCTGGATTTTCCTATAGGTTTGTGGTGAATATTAATGCAAGAAAACACAAAAAATATTCAAGGTCCTGGAAAGAATCCTTCCATGTTACATGTTATCAAGTGGAATGTTTAAAAACAGTGGCTCAAGACAAGGAAAATCTATTTCCTTAATTTAAGTAAAAATAAATAATTTAGTCAGTATGAAATAAAATTTCTAAAAATTATTCATAATTAACAACATCCTGAACATACTCATCAAAACACCTAATGCTTTAAGTCTTATAGAGAATGGGGTCATTTCTTTTAAGAGTAGTTAGTCATTCACAGACAAGTAGGCAAAATGACAACAAAGAATTCTATATACATTTGTCAGGAGTATATAGTGTTTATGTTCTACAAATAAAACATTTTTATGTTCAATATTCAAATATTTTCTGATGTTAATAAAAAATACATCTTCATAACTGAACTCCTTCCAATATTAAAGATAGCTCAGGATTTTTTGTATTTAAAGGATGAGATTCAGGCTTTTTTGACAGATTACTACATTTTTGTCTAGTTTTTCCCATACAATTATTATATCTTTTAGACAAACTAATTTTAGTTGTACCCCAATTGACAATAAGATTTAAATCTTCTGGAAGTAAAGTATTTGATCTCTTCTTGTCTTCTCTTATTCTAGTACCAAAAGTCTTCTTTTGATTGTGGTTAATATGTTTACAGTCTTTGGCCATCTTCTGACTTTGACCAGTGTGGTATTTTTCACTGACACATGGGCTTTCCATTCCAGTGAGACATATAATATTCTTGTGAGCAATAGAAGGAAGAAATGTTTGAGATGACATTTTCCCAAAGGATCCAGTTGGTAAATCTTGAAGATACCTGGGGAAATGTTGGCTAATTTTATATTCATAGATTAATTTTCTTGAGTTTGAATCATCTAACTTGATAGAGAATAGATCATCTATTGTTATATTCTGATAGGTATCTGTTGGACTTTCAGGTGTATTCAACTTTTCAGAATTATGTTGAGGTATGCTAGGTAAAATTCCAACTCTATTTTGGTTTAAGACTAATCCAGTACCAGGAATAAAAAGTTCTGGTTCTTCCTGTTTTGACAGATGAGTGATGTTTGTGGTTGAAATGGATTGATGTGTGTGTCCATTTACTGCCGTATCTTTCCAGATTAAAGGGTTATATATAACTTGTCCATCAATAGGGCATGAATTGCACTTGTAGAATAACCAACTGTCAATACATTTCCTATGAAACTTAAAAAAAAGGTTATAAATTAATCAGAGATATAATTATCTTGTTTATAATGTATATATCTATGTAAATTTTTCCCAGTTGCATTATTGTGTTACTATTAAAACTATTTATCAAGAATGGAAGATAATTATAATTTATCAAGTTTTATGGAAATATTTTGAAGACGAAAATGGAATGGGTTATGGACTGATCTCCATTTTCAACATTAAAATGGAAAGGCTTCTATGGATATCATTTTTGTAATCTTGTTAAATCCCACTACTTATTCAAGCTATTAATTTTACTGTTGCTTTCTAATGAATGAAATTTATTAAATAACAAAAACAGTCATAACCAACAAGAGTTGGAAACAGATCTGATGATGGTATGGTATAAAATAACAAATCACGTTCTTGGGAAGAAAACAAACTAAGACTTTTTAAGTAAAGGTGACTCTAAAGCTAAATATTTATTTATTTATTATTATTTTTTTTAAGCTAAATATTTATTTAAAGTAACTTTATTTCAGAAAAAAACTGGTAACTATATAGTGATTGAACATTAGACTTTAATTCCAGTGAATTCATTTGAAATAATAATTACATCAAATTAAACATTTGTTTCATCCAAAGAATCACAAAAACACATTATTCTATAATGTTTTTCTTTATCTGGGTAATGAAAGTAGATAAGATAGATAAAATAATCTAACTTGAAGAGCCATTTTATCTTTCCTGGATAGCATATACAGAAATGAGTCCTAATCAATAGAAATCCATCCATAGGGGACAGAGCTGCCTTCGCAATAGTCTCTGCTGCAGCTCTTCTACACATACTGTTCAATATGAACATCTCTGCACATAATACAACTAAAAAGTGAAAGTAGAGACTTAAATTGACGATTCATTTGTAAAAACTGGCCCTATAAAGAAAGTCAAACTAACATGATGTGACTTCTACCTTGTGAGTACATGGTAGCAATCTTGTATGTTGACCCAGACGAAATGCCTTCAAACAAAGTCGACACTGATAGCCTGGAGCAAGCAGCTTACTATTCTTTGTAATCAGTGAAAGAGGCAGTGACTTCACCACTTGTTTTGGTGTGTAAACTTGGCTGAGTGAGAATGAGCAGAAAGACATTAATGTTTATATGTGATTATAGATCAGGTAGTAATCAGTAGCACAGGTAAATAACCTCCATATAAATAATGTAAATGAATCCAATATTTTTTGAACTGAAGGTAAGAAATCTCATACATTATAAAGTCAAATAAATCAATTATATTGATGCTGAACAAGATGAACCCAATTTCAACATCAACTTCATAAATAACAAAATTTAGTCATTTCAAATAAAAACACTAAACTAAAATTTTTTGATTTGCACTTTTTTAATGTCTATGAAATAAGAACAAAATTTTAATGAGAACCATATACTCAAATTATTTCAGTCTAAGCCAACACTTATTCCTTGTGTTTAGAAAAATACAACCTGAATCATGATGCCATCTGGTAGGGAGTAAGGTGTGTGGTAAGCCACATTAAATATTCTAGGCTACTGTGATAAATTGGTAGATGAGAATCTAAGAGGAAACTCATTCTCCCTTGGGGCACATGCTTACTACTTTAGTATTGTTAGACTATGTTAATGTGATTGTAAAAGTACCAACCCCATTTTTGTACCAAAAGTACCCACCAACAAAACTAAGATTAATGTAAATTAACTGCTATGTGATGCCATTAATAACTGAAAAAACAGATAAAACAAATATTAAAAACAAAACTTGGTAAAAGGTTAGACACATTCCTATTATTCAAAAGTCATTCAGAACAAAGTTCAAATACAGGACTACCTTGGAGATATTGTGGGCTTGGTTCCAGACCACCACAATAAAGTATCACAATAAAGCAAGTCAAGTGAATTTTTGGGTTTCCTAGTGCAAATAAAAGTTATGTTTACATTATACTGTATTCTATTAAGTGTGCAATAACATTATGTCTGAAAAAGCAATGTACATACTTTATTTTTTTTTAAAGATTTTATTTATTTGACAGAGAGAGAATACAAGCAGGGGTAGCAGCAGGCAGAGGGAGAGGGAGAAGCAGGCTCCCCATGGAGCAGGGAGCCTGATGTGGGGCTTGATCCCAGGACTCTGGGATCATGACCTGAGGCCAAGGCAGTCACTTAACTGACTGAGCCACCCAGGTACCCCATAATGTACATACTTTAACTAAAGATGCCTTACTGTTAAAAAATGCTAACATTATTTGAGCTTTCAGTGAGTTGTAATATTTTGCTGGTCTTGTCTCAATGTTAATGACTGCTGACTGATCAGGGTACTGGTTGTTGAAGGCTGGGATGGCTGTAGCAATTTCTTAAAATAAGATAACAATGAAATTTACCTCATCAAGTAACATTTCCTTTCTGTAGCATGTGATGCTGTTTGATTACATTTTACCCACAGAACTTTCTTCAAAATTTGTCAATAGTCTTTTTTTTTTTAAGATTTATTTACTTATTCCAGAGAGAGAGAGAGGGAAAGAGAAAGAGTTAGTAAGGTGAGGAGCAGAGGGAGAGAAAGAGAGGGAGAGAGAGAATCTCAAGCAGACTCCCTACTGAGCACAGAGCCCAACACAGGGCTCCATCTCAGGACCCTGAGAGCATGACCTGAGCCAAAATCAAGAGTTGAATGCTCCAGCAACTGAGCCACCCACGGATCCCAAAATTTGTCAATACTCTTAAACCCTACAGCTACTTTATCAACTAAGTTTATGTAATATTCTAAATCTTTTGTTTTCATTCCAACAATTTTCACAGCATCTTCACCAGGAGTAGATTCTATCACCACTTTCTTTGCTCATTCATAAGAAGCAACTCCTCATACATTAAAGTTTTATCATGAGATTACAGCAATTCAGTCACATCTTCAGGCTCCACTTCTAATTTTATTTCTCTTGTTATTTCCACCACACCTGCAGTTATTTCCTTCACTGAAATCTTGAACCCCTTAAAGTCATCTGTGAGGATTGGAATCAACTTCTTCACAACTCTAGTTAATGTTAATATTATGACCTCTTCCCATGAATAATGTTCTTAATAGCATCTAGAATGGTGAATTTTTCCCAGAAGGTTTTCAATTTACTTTGCCCAGATCCATCAGAGGAATCACTGTGACAGCTATAGCCTTACAAAATGTATTTCTTCACTTCTGGGGAAGATGGCAGAGTAGGAGTATCCTAGGCTGATCTTATCCCATGTGTACATTTAGATAACACTTACATCAGGTTAAATAACCCAGAAAATGACCTAAAGACTGGCAGAACAGACTTCCAACATCTAAATGAGAGAACAGTCTATACTAAAGAGGGTAAGGAGGGAAGAGATGCAAGTGGGGAGCCAAACTGACCTGTGAGATTATCTGCAGGAGGAGGGATGCCAACAGTGTGGAGATGGGCGAGGACCAGACCCCAAACTAGGCACTGCAGGCATGGGGGATCTGCACTAGGAAGACAAATCCCCATAACATTTGGCTTTGAAAACAAAAGGGACCTAACTACATGAGTCCTTACAATCAGTAGGGCTTAACAACTGGAACTTTAAAAATCAGTAGGCTTAGTTCTGGGAGAGGCAGAGGGGATAAGAAACTGAGTCTCCACCCTAAAAGGGAGAGCAAAACAAACAGTAGCACTGAGATCAGCATAGAAACAGCAGTTTAAAGAACTGGATATACAGGAAGAAGATGCATTTACTAATCTCTGAGCATGTGCTGGAGAGGCAGGGATCTTTGGGAGACTATTCCAAGAACCAAATAGCTGGTGGACATCATTTCCCTCCCCTATCTCCCAGCTAAATACATAGACATGTGTTGAAACTGGTACAGCATCAACACTCTTCACCTACCTTGCTAACAGCAGCACCCTGCCCCTGTGTTCTCTGGGGATTCACCTCCTCCAACAAGCCCTTGGCAAGAGTTCATCCAAAGAGGGACCACAAGCCTGGTAGGGTATAAGCAGCCCTGATAGGGGATGGCACCACTCCAAAGTGACTCCTGCCCCAGGGAGAGGAGAAAGTAACATACACACCAGTTTTACTGGGCCCTAGCAGTGGGCTAGGGCAGACCTGTGGTCTGACTGTAGGCCATGCCCAACAATAAAAGCCTCCCAGGAGATAAAAATGGGGAAAATACCTTGCAGTTCAGTGCTATGCAATTCTGGCAAAAGCCTGGTCTCATTCAACTCAAGCCCAAGGAAGCCCCAGACTAGCCCACTAATAACATAGGAACAAACCCTACCCACAACAGACAGACGACTGCAGATGACTGGACTGAAAACAAGTGCAACTCAGCCACAACATAGGGTACATGCAATCACATAGGAGATACCCCTGAAGTGCCAGGTTGTGGTGAACATGGGACATTGCACTACAGGGAACCACAGGACCTCTTTTTCATAAGGCCACTACTTTCAATATAGGAGATGTAACTGACTTTCCTAACACTTAGAAATAGACACATAGAGTTAGACAAAATGAGGAGATAAAGGAATATGCCCCAAATGAAAGAACAGAAAATCATAGCAAGAGAGCTAAATGAAATGGAGATTAGTAATCTGCCTGATAGATAATTTAAAGTAATGGTCATAAAGATACCACTGGACTTGAGAAAAGAGTGAAGGACTTCAGTGAGAACTGTCAACAAAGAGATAGAAAGCATAAAAAAGAACCAATAGAGATGAAGAGTTCAATAACTGAAATTAAAAATACACTAGAGGGAATAAGTTGACTAGAGAAAGCAGAAGAATAGGTCAGTGATCCAGAGGACAGAGTAATAGAAAGCAATCAAGCTGAACAGGAGAAAGAAAAATAATAATAAAAAATGAAAATAGACAAAGGGAACTCAGTGACACCATCAATTGTAATAACATTCACATTATAGGGATCTCAAAAGGAGAAGAGAGAGAAAAAAAGGCAGAAAATTTATTTGAAGAAATAATAGCTGAAAACTTCCTGAATCTGGGGGAGGAAACAGAAAACTAGATCCAGGAGGCCAGAGAATCCCCAACAAAATCAACCGAAGGATGTCCACATCAAGACACATAGAAATTAAAGTAGCAAAAAGTAGTGATAAAGAGAAATAATTTTAAAAGCAGCAAGAGAAAAGAAAGAATATAAAGGAATCCCCATAAGGCTATGAGCTGATTTTTCAGCAGAAACTTTGCAGGCCAGAGTAAGTGGCATAATATATTCAAAGTGGTAAAAGAAAAAAATCTGCAGCCAAGAATACTCTATCCAGCAAGGTATCATCCAGAATAGGAGAGATAAAGAATTTTCCAGATAAACAAAAGTTAAAAGAATTCATCACCACTAAACTAGACCTACATGAAATGTTAAAGGGGACTCCTTGAGTAGATAGGAAAGGTCATAAGCAGGAGTAAGAAAAGTAGGAAGCACAAAAGCAGTAAATTTAAGTATATCTATAAATATCAGCCAAGGAATTCACAAAATAAAATGATGCAAATTATGACACTATACCCCTAAAATGTGGAAGGGAGAGAAGTAAAAATTTAGTGCATTGAGAATGGGTTGAAACTTAAGTGACCACCAACTTAATATAGACTGCTATATGCATAAGATGTTATATATAAACTTAATGGTAACCACAAATCAAAAATTGGTAATAGATATGCAAAGAATAAAGAGAATCGAATCCAAGTATATCACTAAAAAAAGCCAGCAAACCGTGAGAGGAGAGAGCAAGATTACAAACGAACAGAGAAGAACTACAAAAACAAACATAAAACAAGTTAAAAAATGGCAATACATACCTTCAATAATTACTTTGGACACAATGCTCCAATCAAAAGACATAGGGTGATGGAATGGATAATAAAGCAAGAACTATATGCTGCCTACAAGAGATTCATTTCAGACCTAAAGACACATGCAGATTGAAAGTGAAGGGATGGAAAAGTATTTATCATGCAAATGTAAGTGAAAATAAAGCCAGAATAGCAACACTTATATCAGACAAAATAGACTTTAAAACAAAGACTGTGATAAGAGACAAAGGACACTATATAATCATAAAGGGAAAAATCCAACAAGAATATATAACA